CCTTGTACAAATTCACCATTGCCGTCCACCCGGACAGAAATGCAACGAAGGGCTACTGGAGTGACCCTGTCACAAAAGAATTCCAAACAGACCAAGATGGTAGGTCATCGTTTACATTGTATAGTCAGTCTTGTTAGTAAAAAAAAACAAAATGATTGAAATTTTTCATCATATTATTGTTCCGTTGTGATAAAATGTGTGCTTTTGTGAATAAAGGAATAATCGTTATTTTTGATAAGTCTCTTAAATATCATGGTATGGTGATAAAATTACAAATATTCATTTATTATCAAGAATTATGTTGAACATCACTGTACTATGAATTAAAGCTAGTGCGACTCTGATAGCACTGGTTGTAATCATTATTCCTTGGGTGAGATGAAAATGACGTACCAGACAATGAACAAGAAACAACCTACTTACCACTACTTCGACCAATCATAAATGAAGTCTACCAGGTAGTTGATGTATGAATATTATGTTTATGATTTGAAAGTATAATAAATCATATTTCAATAAATGAATTAACACATTAGTACCAGGAGCAGCCCCAGAGATGGTTGGATTCAGACAGCACTCAGAATCGTGTACCCAGAAAGAAAAGACAACTGCTGGAATTACTTCAACGATTTATTTTAAGGTACATATTTTAATCCAACAAATCTGAATGATTTGATCTCATAAAAAGATCGATTAATAGAATCTCTCAATAAGATTGATAAAATAAAAATGGTTGATTAAATAAGAGTCCCAAAGGGTTTGTATCTCTCTCTGTCTCTCCTTTTTTTTGTAATCAGAACCTTGTAAGCCCCCAGGAGAGCTTCCTACATACTTGATTTATTATAATTGATTTAGTTAACTGGTCCTAGGAACCAAGGATGCTTCATATCAAAAATGTTTAACTTTATGTATATGGTTTTAAGCAAGTGATCTCAACCATTTCCATATTATGACCATATGACTTAGTCCCAAGTAGTGGGCTAGGACCCTTGTGCCATTCCTGGTTGCATGAGGGTATGCATCTCTTCATGCTTCAATCGTATAATTATAAAGTTAAGGAAGCAAGTCCCGAGTGGCAGAGCCAGACCTTGGGCCAGTCTTAGTAGCATAAGTAAGGATCCATCACTACATACTTGTCATTTGTATATATGGTCATAGGGTGGTGATCTCAATCATTTCAATGCAATGATTTAAGGGCTAAGAACCCAGGGGCCAATCTCGGTAGTATCTTCATTCCATGCAATTTTATGTGGAGATCTCAACTGTTTCCATGATATAATTTTGGGACTAAGGCCTTGGCCGGTTTGGACACTAGTGCCAATCCTGGTAGCTTGGATGTATTCATCAGTTCATGCTCACTATGTGTGTATATGGTTAAGGGGTGGTAATATTAAAATGTGCATCATTAAGAGCACATGGGCAGGATCCAATAGAGGATATAGTGACTGAGGTAATTTTAACATCCTCACGTGTGTTTTTACCAAATTTGGACCATCTCATGGTCCTGACTATGTTATTTACTCAGCTGATAAAAAAAGTCCAAAACACTCACCCTGACCTCTGATTAGGCAACTGATAATAGGCTGACTACCCTGACCAACTTTTCTTTTGTTTTTTTTTAGTTGGGGGTTCTAATCAATAGGTCTCTGGTAGCGCAGACAATTTTTGCTGAGTTATATGTTCCATCATTTTAAACCAAATTGTTACATTGTTGGACTGTAATTGTATAGGTCAATCAGAAATACAAGATGACCACCGTGATCTCATCAAATTCCTTTTTACTTTAATAAAATAGATACATTGAACAATACAGGCCCTTTGGGTGTCTTATTGACTCTTTTATCATTTGATGATTTTTAAATGATCTGTTGCAATCTCAAGTGTAATGCTGATACCAAGTTGATGTTGTTTATTTTAGTCAATACCAGAGGTGGAGAGAAATGGTTTAATCACAAGTTACAGAGTCAACTATACTGATCTATCTGATGGAGCAATTGTTACAAAAGTCATCGTCAATAAGAATACCACTTCTGTTAGCCATCCACTCCCCTGTAACAAACTATACAACATATCTATCTCCGCTGCCACTGTCAAAGGATACTCACCTCACCACTCCAGCCTCATCATTAACACTTCAGGTAAGTCACTCACACAGATACTCACCTCACCACTCCAGCCTC